ATTTTTGTATTGCGGCACGTTAGCTGAGGCGTGTTCCTCACCCTCGGTTAACGTGTCTTGATGATCATGATGATGAGATTGCTTTCAGCATTTCGCTGAAGGCAATGCCAACACGGTAAATACTTTGAGCCATCGACTCAATATCGCCAGAGACGCATAGAGTGTAACCCCATTGTCATCAGATTCAGAGCCAGAGAGTCGATGAAAGACGATACTGGACCTTAGCGTGGTGCGATGGTTTGCGTGCCTAAGCGATCCATTGGGCTATGTTGGGTGTTGCTTTAGCATCTTCAAAACCACTCACACAAGACTGGCCAGGGGTTAGAGGCCTGACAAGCCCATTCTCTTGACCCTCCAGGTTGGGGGTTTAAGTGAGGGTGGCTACTTTCTTCATAAAAGGGACTCTAAGTAGCCCGTTACCAAAACACCGCAGCTTCATAGTCAAGTTTTTGAACCAAAGACTTTGGTTGAAAACCCTAATCATTCTCCTGTCTAGGTCTGGGCAATCTGGCAGTATTCTGCCCACGCGATACAATGAGCCTTTCCTCCACACTATTTCTTGATTCTCTGACCGTGGCAGAGGATAATAAATGGCGCCCTATCTGCTGCATCCAGCAGAGTGGATAGGACTTTGGAATCTACAGCTCAAGCCCTCCCCTTTTCTCATCCCTCCTCTTGCACTTTTCATCCTTATCGTCACTTTTAAAGTTCACTTTTATCCTCCGTGTTTTCAACCGTCACTTTTTGGCCCTCCCCCATCTTGGTTCAGTAATCGCTTACCTTCTAGTTTCGACTCACGCAATCGCGGAGCGTCGCTCCGGTTCAGTCGACAAGTCCATGGCCAGTTAAACGGATAACGTCAGTACATCTGCTTCTATTTGGTTTCCTCGATCCTCCCTAAGGTTGGCGTGCCCCAGTGTGCGCACTTTGTTACAGATTGGCCAATAGGCAGCACTTGCTCGAACACTGGAGACCTTACCAATCGATATCTGCTGCTCATCATAAACTCGCTTGCAGGATTCGTGTTCTTTGATTACACTGCGGTCCCCAACGTGCGACACTGAAGGTATTTTTTCATAGCGCTTGTCCGGAGCTGAAGCGGTTTCAAATACCGGTCAAACTGGTGTGGGCATTGCTCTTAGCCTCCGGGCTGCATCTGTCCTGATCGTCTGGATCCGCATGAACAGCCAGATGTGTGCTGTCAGATCGGGTGGCTCTTTCAGAGCCTCGACGTCGCGTGGGAACAAACGGTGCTTGTTTGTCATTGCGGCCTACGCGCCCACAATTTGTGGCGCTGGCTAGGCGAAGGATAAATTATATCACCAACTGAACACGCTCCTCCGTTACAGAAAATATACGGATACTGTGGTGCCTGCTGGTGATCTGAACACCCATATCGGAAAGCTGTCCACTGAAGAACTTCATCTGGGCGGCCAACATAGTGTAGGCTTCCGTAATAATAACGGTGAGCGATTCCTACACCTGTGTGAAGAGGTTCGTCTTCTTATCGCGAGCATTAACGTTCGACGCAGCACCTGCAGAAGATTGACTTGGCGCTCACCAACCTCGGACTAGCCATGGAACCAAATCGATAACATCGCAATCATTTACCACTGGAGAGGCTGTGTTCAAAACTTTCACTCGATTTGGACTACGAGCGTTGACTATGACCACACACTTGATTGCGCCGACCTTCGGGTGAGTTTTGACGGAAGTCTGCAACGTCGCTGTGAGCGCATAGACACTTGCCAGCGGGCAAAGTCAGATATTCTGAATGCGTATCAAAATATGCTGACATCCGAGCTGAGTAAGAGCTCATTGAAGATCACTGGTCACATACCCGCCGGAGGTTATCAGCAGCAGGCAAGTCTTCATGTTGCAAATCAAATCACCAACCCAAACATTGGTCTCTACACAGTCTCTGGAGTTTCTGGATGCTTGCCGATGTGTTCCGGCTGGAAGCGAATACAGTTAGACTCGCAAAGATCTCAGGGCGAAACTGTTTGCTAGCCTGAAGAGACCGCGAAGCGTGGTGGTCTCATCGTGCGTTGTAGGTTACAGCTACTGCCCTTGGCATCCATCGGAAGTTATTCCGTCTGATCCGAGAAAATGTGCATCAGAAAACCTTGTGTTAGCGAGATCATGTACAAGTGAAAAGTCATTCCACAGCTTATCAACACGCTAAGAACGTTGGCCTGAACACTTTGAGTAGCAGTTCAATCATTCAGTTGCCAGCTTCCCCATAGGCCTATGATCACCCTACTACCTGGGCCGTCCCCCTTCATTTGCCTTCACGCGCAGAAATTGAACGTGTAATCAAACGCTTGAAATTGAAAACGCCGCCAAAAAATGGATTAATCTTTCCATACACAATTTCCCTCTTCAAATTCGGGGGACCTGCTCTTTTGGACTATTTGTATAACTTACTATTGAATCTGTGGGAGCAAGAGACTGTCCCAACAGGCTGGAGCCGCTCCGTTATAGTCCCAATTTTCAAGGGACGCTGCCGTCCGGAATGCGGCAATCATAGTAGAATCAATCTGATTTCAGTTGCCTCTGCTACTTGCATCTGTCGTCTTCCATAAACTAACTGGCACCCGTAAAAGCCAGAAGCGCGAGGAGCATGCCGGGTTTCGTCGAAATCAAGGCTGCATTGATCACATCCTCACATTACGTCAGTTGTTGGAGCACCGCCATGTTTATTGGCGATCCACCGTAGTCGTGTTCCTTGACATCAAAGGGGCTTTTGTTTCGATTGATCGATGTGCCTTTTAGGACTGTATGCGTAGGAATGGTGTACTCGATAAATATGTAAACATCAGAAGAGCACTGTATGCGCATAGTTTGGACAGATTGAGGGTTTACGGCAAACTGGATGGAAGAAGAGGAGAGGAAGCCAAGTGATGCCTTGGTCTAGGGGAATGAAGTCCCTCACTTCGAAATTGGCGTCGGTTGTTGTTTCCCGAATGCCTGGCTGACGTCCGAAGGACGATGAACACGTTGGATTGGATACATCAGCTGACATGGCGAGGAGTCGACTTCAGTGGCGTTTATGTTGTGAGTCTCTTTGTCCCTCGCCTTCCCTTTAGCTTCCCTCTCCAACAACGATCTCAACCGTATGCATAATGTGATATTTGGCGACGTTACTTTTCTATGGCATTTTTAGTCTATATTGCTTAATATCTTATCTTTTTTATATTGCGGCACTTTAACTGAGGTGTGTTTTTCACCCTCGGCTTACGTGTATTGATGATGATGAGTCGATGATTCGTCACACCGCTGTTATCTTGTATGCGTTTTTCGGAGACACAGCGCACTTCGATGCCAAAAGAGTGAAGAGTGAGTGTTCGTGCTGCATTCTGGCCGGTCTGATCTATACTGCGGACGTTAAAATAACCAATGTGGAATGAAATTAGGCTTAATGAAAGAGCAACGTGTATCGATGGCGGCAACTAAGAAGTCACCAGCATTCTCTTGCTTAGTAGAAAGGTAAAAAGAGATTTTGGAGGGAAGGAAAAATAAGAAGTAATGGGAGTATTGTCGACGGTTTCGAGAGGGCTGGTGATACTCTCCGACTGCCTATTCCATGCCAGGGGTTTTGTTCGAGATATTCTACCTCTAGCTTTTGACTAGTCTGATCTACAAGACAGTGGGTACATGGAGGTCCGCTTGATGTACTCTACCCGAAGCCTTGGGCTCAATAGCCTAACCCGCAAGTCAGTGGGGAGCATATGTAGCTCGAAAATGTGATTGCAGAGACCCATTGGGATCTGCTTGAGACCTTTAACGATGCAGAACAAGGCACTTGTGTTTTATGACCGTATTATGTTACGTACCTGCGACCACGATATGTCGCAAATGGGAGTTGGCTGGTTTGCAACAATTTACCCCGGAGCTATCTGGCTGGAGGTAAGGGGTAGCAAACCCTTGGCCACCGGGAGGTGCTCTCTCACCTTGCTCGTCAAAACTTCCCGTCCGTTTACTCGGAACCAGTTGTTGAACTAGACTCGCTTGATTATGCCACCGTTGCACTTCTGTTTGATTGAACTCCGACGCCGTTGTCTACTATATGTTGGGCTATTACACCTCCCACCATGCACAGGACAGGTAACGATCTACAGGCGACACCGCATCGTTTTTTTTGTCTGTTCCCGAGTAGCGCGTCTTGATAGTTCAGTTAAAACGCGGGTACCGGTTGTTGTACAATGCGCATGAACATACTAACATCGAACGAAGTCGGTCTTGGTTGAATGCGATGCATCAACAGAGCGGCTGGAGCAATTCGTAAAGATGTACTTACTCCTTTGTTGGCAGTTGTAGCGACTAACTTGCCACTAGAAACATTATTGCGTAATAGAAACACTCAGGTGTTTCTCTATAGTTGTGGTGGTCACTGATATCGCTACCAGCAGAGATGCTTTAGACCATGGGCCAGCCTAAAGTATCACAAGCCTGCCTTGTAATCTCATGGCACAGGTTCGAGTTTGCGTAGGTGACCAGGCGACTCTCGCGCGACTGGTGGTGGTTGTGCGGCAGCGAAGCGTCCTTACTGCGTACTGGCGTACTGCCGATGCTTGCTTTAATCAGCAGCGCAATTAACGAATCCATCAATCGCTCCCCGTGTAATCACTTTGCACTTCGTTTCCTTATTTTTGTTCTTCACAGCAAACAATTCAGTAATCGTTTTTACGATTTCCGTTTCCTTATTGATCACGCTATCTGCGTCTTCCTATCCAGCAGACAAGCGTAATCGGAATAAGATTCTCATTATTGTATGCAAAGCGAGGTATTGAGAAAGCTGTTCCAAAAGTCGCCCAGGCAGCTCGTAAACCGACAGAATACGATTTTTGAGAGAAAAACACCAATCGCCAATAATTTGCCGTAATCCTTTGCAGCGTCTTTCATTCTTTTCATTGCCCTATATTATTTACTATGTTTGCGTCATCAATGTTCGTTAGGTTTGTGAATTTTATCTATACAATCTTCATTCCGTGTTATAGCCACCATGACGTCGAGTATGTTCGCAAACACGCTGAGCTCTTCCGAGAGCGACTCGGACGAGAGCCCAGTTCAACGTGTTGAGAATCGTTTCGCCCACTACTTGAGCGATGAGGAGGACGGAAAACGGGTTGTCAAAAGTGCAAAAGATAAACGGTATTTCCAGATCACTCTCATTGACTTACCTCTCATCACGTAGTTACGAAGAAATGCAGAGTATCATTAAAAACCTAAACAATCACAAAAAGATTAGGGATATGTCAAATGTTCTTGTGGGTACGTCCAACTTCGCTGTCATTTCATGCGGTCAGACTTTGAGAGTCTTACACGCGTGCACGAAAAGTCCATCAAGATGAACGAAATCGACAGTGTGCCTGCTTTTTACATCCGTTCCATTGCTGAGCTCGAAGACTTTGTTAACGACTCTTGGGAGAAGAAGAAAGATTTGAACAGAGCTGCTGCGAAAGCACTGACCGCTCTTCGTCAACGTGTCAAAAAATACAACCGTGATTTCGAGGAAAGCATTAAGGATTTTCGTGAGGTAAGCTTATTCTTTTTTCAATAGGATCTCTGCAGCACCCCGAGAACTATCAAGAAGATGAACCATCAAAAGAATCAGGTAGTTAAATTCCACCTTACCAGCTTGTTTTTCAATAGATGGAGAGGATAAAAGCGATACGGAAGTACCTCATACGAAAGTAAGTATTGCATTACAATGACCATCGTTGTCTCCCTTTCTTTCGATGCACTATGTGCTGAAATTCATGAGTCCTCTTATGTATTTTTGCCTACCAACTTTTCTTAGGTCACAGCTTCGGCAGCCTCTGAGAAGAAATCGGCCAAAAAGGCGGCAGGGTCCGATTCCGAATCCGACGATTTGGACGATGAAGGTGAGGACAACGACGAAGATGAGGAGGACAGCGATGACTTTTGGGATAGTGACAGCTCCAGCTCCAGCAGCGTTGATGTGGATATGGAACGTTTCAAGGATGATCCTTCTGTATTCTTCTTGAAGAAAACTACCGATGAAAAGAAGGTACTGGCCTTTACTGATTCGCACATTTAATTCGCTGTCCATTTGACTTAACATGAAACCAATTTCATTTCAGGAGCTTTGGTACCCCGATTAATATATGTATGCTGATGTTTCATGACACCAATTTATCCTTGTTCTTATACTGCACATCTGCAGCGTGACTTTCGTTGGGATTAATTTTCAGTACCTTGGATTTATGTGACATTCCCGTATATCAGCCTCTCACGATGATTACTCGCCGCGGTTTTTGATCGCACCGCCACAATGTCGCGACGTCTTTTCGCATCTGGACTAGGCATTGTGTCTAGGTGTAATGGTCACGTTCCTGTGTACACCGTTTACCGTGTGGAACGTAAGTCATCTGTTAGCATTCACCTGTGTCGGTTTGGTGTTCATTTCGACACTGTGTTCCCGGCTTACCCGTTCCACATAATGAAGTGGACGTTCAATGTTTTAAGTTTCATGTGACCTAGTTCAATTCTTAGCTTCAGACTCCTGATCACACAACTTTTCAACATTTAGTGGCGCTCGTCAGAACTGTTCCATTTATCCATTTTTGTTCAACTGCATCATGAACTTCACCACAGAGGGTTCGCTCTTGGAGTTCCACGATGAAGGCACTAACTTGCCTCACGGGAGGAAAACTGGTTACTCTGCATTATACCAATGATACCACCCTGCGTTTAACAATCGCGAGATGGCATAATTGACCGTGGACAAGCTTTCTACAGTCGTCCCATCATTTTATTGATTCGTCACATCTGGGCACAATTTGCTGCTCCAAGCTCTTGATCTGTATCGGCAAGAAACGGTATTTAATCATTTTATGTAATGGAGATGAATTCGCCATTGCGGAAGTTGTTTGGGGTTTCATAGAAGCTGAAAGTGCACTCCTGAATCTGCTAGGTTTGTGGCACCAAAAGAGATTTCTCTTCGGACCACAGTAGGGACCGCTCGCCTGTATGGAAGTGATAGTTGACCCGTTCAGTCTGAAGAACGAAAGCGCAATCAGCTCATCGCGTGCGGGGCACTCCTCTTGTCGAATAGCACCGCATGTGCGCCGCGATGAGGATTCTTCAGCGCAACAAGTGACGTTGGCTAACCTGCGTTCTCTTTGACACGTGCGACATGTGCCCGCTCATCGCTGACCTAGGAGGACGCAATCTTGTTCGCCGAATGTAGGATGGTGCACGGCTCGACGAGGGGCAGAGGTTGATTTAACAACGGGAGATATAGCCGCTAACGTCTAAACTAAGTGGTAATTATCCTTCCCGCCCACTACGCGATCTACTCTGTGCTTGGCGGGAGACTCCATCATGAGTGGCTGGCCGTCGGCACCAGTGGCGCATTTTCTATCGTTTCGTACTCGGACTGCCTGTTTAAGATATGTCTGCTACTGAGCCAATCTGTGGAATAGGGACGGATCATGACGCTTGACAGCCAGTAGTTTTTTCTGTGTTGTGTTGTTCGCATAGTGTGTGTCCGTCCGGCTCCCGAGTGTCTGATCGATAGCTTTGGGCTCTTCACCAAGTGTCACATTTTCCTTCACCTATTTATTCTCATCACCATGGCGCACACCAGGTCAATTTGCTGATCTACGGCTGCCGCCGTCGGTGATGCTTACAACTCGAGGTTTGGAATCTTCCGGCGGTTTCTTGGCATCTCAGCCGAATTCGAGGCCATTTGCTTCCTAGTCCTCTACGATAAGAATTTGTCCTCAAGTACCTCGTGACCCCATAGGCCTCACTCTTGCTCCTCTCTTTTCTCACTTTCCTTCCAGTCTTATCGTTTTTCATCGGATTACATTGCTCCAACTAATTACTCTGCCGATCTCTCATCTCGTTTTCCTAGCTGTTGCAGTACATTCAAGCATCCTTTTTTCTGGCACTTCACCATCATGCGTAAAGGGAACGATGGCGGTCTATTGTTCTCGCGATTTGGAAATTCTCTCTCCTTTCCTTTCCAATAGGATAAAACCAAGGTGAAAAAGGCGGCGAAGGAGCGCTCGCTCAAAAAGACAACCAAGATGGCATCATTGTACGAAGATGAAGGGGTGTGGACTACCGTGGTGGATGCTTTGGGTCGGGCAGAACCGCCGGTGCAAGCTTTTGAGAAGGGACAGGAGATCACTCACGAGATTGTTGTGAAGAAACTCAACGAAATACTCGCCAGTCGCGGTAAAAAGGGAGCTAGCACCACAGAGCAATTGGCTTTACTCCATCAAGTGGAAGATAAAATCAGTTAGTTACCTGCATTTGTTTCTCTGTGCAGTTTTAGCACTGAAGAATGGATACACAGTTTCACTAGATTTTTTGTTTTTGCTAATGGTTTATGTTTGAGCATCTTTCCCTTTCCGTTTTTTGCTTCAGAGGAGTGTCGTCTTTCCATCGGTCTTCATGTGAAAGTGCTTTTCTCTCTCATCAGCGTGTTCTTCGATTACGACAAGAGCAACCTGGTTTGTATGTCTTCGGTCCTCTTTGATCGGTGAGTACCTCCACGCTCCATCTATGGCTTGTGACTGCTTTCGGCAGTGTGATATACATTCGTCTCGCACTCCTTTAAATTGTCTTGAAGCTTGGGCGCTTGTGTTTCGACGTATTCTTCTCTCGGTTGGCTGACAGGTACTGTTTCATTCAAAAGTTTTCGCATCAGGTGCTTATCCCACTTGCAATAGGACCATTGTCAATACTTGACGCTGTAATCATCGTTTGCGTCTGATGCAATGGTTCAGTGCGTTTCAAATCCGTACATTCATGTGCGGTGGATCCAGTTGACCTGAATCACATCAGCACTAACAATAGTAATAATAAAACTTACTAGTGATGGTTTAATAACTACCTTGGGTTCAGTTTTCAGTTCAATTGATCAACTATAATCCGAGCACCGAAGAGCGGTGGATACAGTTGTCACGATTCACGCCGCCAAAGTGCAGTCCGTAGGGTCATAAACGGAGTCGATGAAAAGGCAGCTTGTCTTCATACAGCGTTTATTAATCTCAATAGAAGTTCGAAGTCGAACCGCACACATGCGGCTATTCACTGGTAGCCAATCGATTAGATTACCTTCAACATGTCTGCTAAGGGCGATACCAACACGGTAAATACCTTTAGCCATTGACTCGGTATCACCAGAGATGCGAAGAGTGTAGTCATTGTCGTCGGATTCAGAACCAGGGATTCGAAGATTCGTCACTACGCTGTTATCTTGTGTGCGTTTTTCGGAGACACAACACACATCACTACTAAGAAAGCGAAGTATGAGTCAGTGTTACTTGTTGAGCAATCTGATTCAAAGTGCGGACGTAAAAAGAACCAGTGTGACATGGGGCTCGTTGTTTGATGGACGAGTTACGAGTATCGAGGGCAGAAGCATCGAGGTCAGCGGCAGACTCTTGCTCAGAAGACAGGGAAGAAGATAGTTGAGAGTGGAGATGGAAATAACAAAAGAGGGAGTATTGTCGACGTGGTCGAGAGGGCAGATGATAATATCCTGCTGCCTATTCTGGGTGAGGGGTTTTGTTCGAGGTGCCCCACTTCTAGCCTTTTACTCAACTATCTGACCCACAAGGCAGTGGGGGATCTGGAGGTTTGCTTGATGGAGTCCACCCGAATACTTTGGCTCAATAACCTAACCCACAAAGCAGTGCGGAGCAAGTCCCACTCGGGAGCGTGATTTCAGAGACCCATTGGAATCTTCTCGGGGCCTATCACACACAGCCTTTGAAGATTTGTACAATTCGCATGTGTTTTACTACCGTATTACGTTACGTAACTGTGGCTATGACCAGCCGTAGGTGGAATTTGGCGGGTTTGTTCCAATTTGAGCAGTGGCTGCATGGCTCGAGGCGGCCGGTAGCAAACCATTGAGAACCGGAAGGCGTCCTCCCACTGTCAGAGGCAATGCATAGCGCCCGTGCTCTACACCATTCGAGCTGTGAGTTTATAACCCGTAGATCTGTTGTCTCCCATGGCTAGGTTTTAAAGGAAGAGGGCCATCGACCTCTCCCTAATCTCTGAAGAGGAATGGATTATGAGACTGAGTTACTCTGACCTTAACTACTGACCTGTCTGATATGAGTGACTCTAAAACACTTGGATAGTGCCACCCAGCATAGTTCTATGGGCCACGGGGGTACGCAAATCACCGCACCAGTCTGAGGTCCAGTCACATTGCAATGGATTACGGGGTGTAATTCGAAGTCAGCGCTTGTGGTGCGCTACTGGTCTCTTGGTCGCACCATATTTGATAGGGTTCCTAACCGCGAATGTGATCTATCCCGACTCTCTTATCCAATTATACGACAGACACGGAGAGATCCCAGCTGTACGCCGGCACGCCGTACCGACGTTTTGCTGCCAGGAAACAGCGTGAGGGGTAGATATACTGCGATATCGCCCACATTTGCGCCGACTCGACCTGAGGACTTTTGGATTACAAACACTATTCTTGCACCACCTGACCACCCATCCTTCGGTGAGTTTCTTCATACTATCCTGTGAACTCATTGAATATATACTGAGATTTAACACAGGTGGCCACAATATTGACTGGTAGCACATGCCGGGACCTATTGCCAACGGATACCCTAAGAACGTGACACAACTCCATTCTGAACGGTTCGAGCGCAACGGAGTGATGCCAGCACGGCGTTAGTGTCAAATACCCAGTATCAAACGATTAGCTTCGCTGGTACTCATCAATGCGTCATTACTCAAAGGACCATTTTCTCCATTTCTTCAGAGCGCGTTAATTATGCTTCTGTCCCATACAATGATACAGATGACACAACGGCTCTGCACACCCTGCCATCGATTGATGGTCTAAGATCCTTCCGTCTACTTAGCTCACTGAGGGGTTGTAACTTCCTACGAGCTGTAAAGACTCGTGTGGTGATATCTTCAGAACACACAGCCACCAAGGCTGAAGCGGCTAAGCCCATCAGTCTACGGTTTCGGATGGTGATTGTTCAGTATTTGTGAAAGCTGGTGGTGTGTCCGCCTAGTCCTGTGACAAAACCTTACCTTTTGAATGTCCGAAGCGCGCATACCAGATGGACTCAACAGCGTTGGCTTAGAAACTCCATATTTTGTGGCAGACTCAACAACTCGCACATCTCCGTTCGCGACCCGAAAATTCGTGGCATAGAAATTTGAAGCACTGGGTTCCCTGTATCAGTCCAAATAATACAATGAGAAGACGGGTGTTGCACGATGATATCATTTCACGCTTTCTGATCACTTGCAAACGAGCGACATTTAACGATCACGAAAGGGAAAATCAATGATTTGAATGGTATCATAATGGGAATGGACGAAACATAAGGGTATAAACTCCAACAGAATCACAACCTTTGAGACAAGTGTTGCTATCCCCAAAGAAGCTAGAGAGTGACGGTCAACTGTTTCTACACACATAGGTCCGGACGGCTGTTGTTAATAGCCACAACCTCCGCGAACTTGAGTATCTTGGTGTTTTCATTACGGTAGATAACCGTAAACGCCAAGTTAGAATCAATTTGGTGCCCCGTTTCAAGTAGATGTCTGGCTATCGAAGAGGCCGGCAATTTGAATATTGACTTTTGTCCCTGCGATTTTTTTGCCACACTTGTAGCAACCCATTTCGGGATGTGCTCACCGATCCGCTTACGCAAACACCCGTCTGTTCTGCCGCTGCAACTGCTTCCACAGTTACAGTCAAAGTTGTAAATGCAATATGTTGTGGCAGACTGACTGCGTAAGCTTAACCGGAAGCGTTGGTAACTTACTGCTTGCCCAAATTGGACACAGTTTTGCAGCACTGAATGTACGTCGAATTGTTGTGGCAACGCGCCGCTCGAGTTGCGTAGCCACATCATCCTCTTTGAATGGTAATTGGAGATAAACGGGCATTTTTGACTCTGTAGGAGGATTTTGTTTGTTTCCTTCTTCGCGCGACCGTGAAACTTTATAAACGCTGTCGGGTAGCCATTTGCCTTTAACGTCTGCGTGATGAACTGCAATTCAGCTCAGACACATTCAGAACTGCATATGTTACGAGCTCGCTGGAACTGCGTTTTGTCGAGGCAACATTTGTACCAGACCGGTGTGAAGCTGCTGAAATTTTCGGAAAGTCCCGTGCAAGCATGCACGTTGTTCTAAGCTGAACATCACTGCGAACGGTTGCATTCCGCCAACTAACAAGTGTCCTTCATGTTAAGACAGATCAGCCTAATTTCTGTGTGTATGTATGTATGATGGTGAAGCGCATCCTCTCCATAGGGGGGGGTAGAAGCCAACCACATGTTGCTTTCTAGAGTATTGCAGTTTTTGACCACCTTTCCATGTGGGTAAGCTGAGCAGAAACTTGTACCACCCAATTTTGAGTCCTCTAGACCAGGTACCGGTTTGTATTGCGATCAGCCAGTGACGACACTTTTGGCTTGGAGCCAAACCAGTGAGAATATTTACCGGCCTTTGATAGTTTCTGGTAACACAGCGCATTACTTGTTTCTATTGAACGATATAATCAGAGTCATTTTGACTGCTGTTAACAATGAATCGTGTGTGACTGCGGTATCAGTTACATCGGCAGCACCAAACGGGTTTTAGATTCCCGAGTAAAGCAACACCTACCAAACTGGGTTCAGCGTGAAGTTACCCAATCCACCTCCGATGATACGTGTTCACGTAAGCCACCAGCGTCCTCCATAGGCAAGCACATCTTGGCGATTCGTCACCAGATCAATCCCTTATCAGCTTTCCGGATCTTGTTACGTCATACTAACACACGTCTTTTACGATTTGCCGAGGCCGTCGCGATAAGCCGAATTAGACCAGCTTTGTGTGTCCAAAAGCAATTAGTCGTCAACCTGCGGTTGCCGTGGACGTAATCCGATAACAATGACCACAACAATAAATTTGATTGGTTTGACTGTGCCCTGTAAGACATATAAAAGAATTTCCCTGTTATTGTATTGGTACTGATGAGATAATACGAAATGCTAGCATCTGCCAATATTCGTCTTCTCATTTCGTTGTTCAAACTACTGAAGGGGACTAACTGTTTTAAACAATGAATCTTCTGGGATTTAGTCGAGTAGTGGATTTGCCACAGCTTGTGAAAGCACATGCCTAAAGGATCACAAACGTGCCTTGTGATTTGGAGGTTGCGGGTTCGAGCTTGCCTACGGGACCGGGCGACCGTCGCCGTATCCTTAGCCCACGTGTTACTGGTGGTGTTTGCGCGGCAGCGAAGTCTCATTGCGGCGTACCAGCGTAATTCGCATGCCTTAGCCGTCCCGTGTCCCTATGACTTGAGTTTAAATCATATAACACATGTAATGTGTAATGCGTCATCAAATTGAGTTTTAAATTAATTCATCGTGAGAGCAGCGATGAGGAAATTCAATCAAGGGCTTCACGAAGGGAGAAAACGTTCCAGCGGCGTTCCATTTTCTTATGCTGTGTGGCCGATTCCAAGTGGTGAGCTCTCGGTGAGGCCTCTGTCTCCCGATTTGGAGAATAACTGGTCCCGAATTTGCAGTAGCTGTGTGGGTTATCTGTGCCGTCAGCAGAAATGCAACATGAAGGACCCGAGCGTTGCCGTTGAATGAGGCCCGTTAGTGGTCGGCGTGCAACAGTGACGATAAGACCACTACGGACAGGATGTTCACACATGCTTAAGCTGTTTCGAAATGGGAATGGTAGTACTTTGGCCGGTCGACAGCGCATCGAAACTGTTTTTGTGTAGCGACGGAAACATATTCATCGATTCAACGCCAGGTGTAACACCAATCCTCTAGATATTCGTTGTTTGTTGCATTTTCTCTGCTATTAGTGAACTCCGATTGGTATTTACGACAGATAAGTTTACTATCCGCTGAGTTGAGAACAACCACCAGCAGTAACAACCTTCTTTCCACCAAATTCCAATAATCGCCTTTGTTTCCGTGAATGTTCCCTGTGTGATCACCTCGTTGTGGGTTTTGTGGCCGCACAGGAAATGATAGGAAATCCCGAACACTCTGATCTTCAGTGCACCCGTTTTTCACTGTGCGCCATTAATTTTGTTTATAGTACTCATTAATAACAGGATTTTAGTTGTAAATCTGATAAGGCTTTCATCCCAACAGTTCACAAGCTACATAGCAGAGCCTAGCCCGGAAAAGCGCCAGACGGCCGTTTCGCCCTATTGGGGCTCGTCAGTGGCGCGCATTCCCTCGGTCCTCTAAAGAGGATCGATCCCATGACCGCTAGAGGCAGATGCCAACTAGCCAGCAGCTTAAGCCACTGAGCCATATTTACTTTTCACTCTTCTGGCTGACTCTCCTGAGTCTTTTAAACTATCGGGCACTTGCACCACGGATATAAAATAGGTGGAACTAGTCTTGTTGGATATACGCGCACGTATGTGGTCAATGGGCTATAGTCCACTCTGTGATGGAATGCTGTCTCACTTGGCCCCGAGTAGTACTCACTTAATGCGATTAATGTAGATGGCTACTTCGACTGGCAAGTACTCTGATAACACTGAGGGGGCGTAGGCCCATCTACTAACGGATTGTGTGCCAAATATGCACGCGACGCACTTCCGATTATGGTCATATGATCATACATAAACTGTTCTTCTCAAATTCATGACCTTATTTCTATGCGATTCTGTTCTCACGCACATTTTCGCTCATTTATTTGATACTCCGGGTACATTACTGCCTTCCGTTTGCAGTCTATTGAGTGCTTTTGATCGTTTGTTCGACCAACTCGAGCAACACGACGTGGACCTTTCGATTTTGGACATCAATTCCGACACTCCTGAATCGCTCGAGGTAAGTATCCATCTAGTTCCGATTGCTGCTGTATAACTTTTTTCTAATTGAGAATGCACTTTAGCGTCCAAATTTTATTTGAATGTGGACTTTCTCCTTTATCAGTATGCAAAACAGTTGCTGAGTCCTAACTAACCTACACCCCTGCTGGTGTTCTACAGAATCTTCAAAATTCCCAGCACCAAATTTCATTTGCCACTTTACTTAAGGCACCAGTTGCTCTCCGGTGGATGTGATATCCCATTTTCCGGACAACTCATTATGTGCGCCATTCTTCCTTGTGTTTTCCATAGTTCCATCTTCCAACTGACTTGAGTTCATCAGGCAGCAGCATCAACGATATCAGCATCTCCGTATTTTCTGCTTAGTATTTCCCTACCGTATAAGTCAAATCAGATGTCTGCATCTCATCAATCCAAGAAACTAAAGCCAAAGCATTACACTAACATCGCACGGTTATTTTCGACTGCTTCTTTGCCAGATTTACAGAGTAGTAACCATAGCTACAATATTCACGTGCTTATTTGTTCGCTATGCGATGTGACATCGTCAGAGTGCAGAGTGATATGTAGCGTACAATATATTGCACCTTCGCATGATGGCGAAACGTTTGCAACAAAACGGCCCAGTTCAGTCGGTTGGGAACTACACCACTGAGTCGTCAGCCCCAGCTACCAGTATTCCGAAACATTATTTTTAAATGAAATAATGTTGGGTTTCATTCGTAAGTACGGAGAGAAAACAGTCGATTCCATCTTGAGTTCAGAGAGGTTTGGAAACAATCGGTTTGGTATAGTAGGTTTGGTAACGTCAGACCAGGTGAATCAGTGTGCAATTGGTGTGGGATTTTATAGCGAACAGGGGCGATAACCGCGTTACCCGAGTCTTGAGCCATGAGTCATTAGAGGAACAGTTCGGGATGTCACCTCAGGTGGTTCGACCACAGTGGGAATAGTCCAGGTGTTACTTTGTGCGTCATGACATTGATGGATAAGCCCATAGTGTTGACAATGGGAGTCGGTTTGCACTTTCCCATCTGCTCCACGCATCGATGCTCGTCAAGCTGGTCGACTTAAGACCTGAGGTGACATCCCGAACTGTTCCTGTAATGACTCATGGCTCAAGACTCGGGTAACGCGGTTATCGCCCCTGTTCGCTATAAAATCCCACACCAATTGCACACTGATTCACCTGGTCTGACGAAGCCTTTATGTTAAAGGCGAAACGTTACCAAACTACTATACCAAACCGATTGTTTCCAAAACTCTCTGAACTCATGACTACTCGATGTGTTCCAAGTATCTTCCAAGAATTTGAAGTCGATTAGATCCTTTTAAAGTGAGCTCATGTAGTCGATGTTATGCGAATATGCTGACTGTATTCGCACTCTTCCCATCTGTCGGCTGGGCCCATGCCAGCTACAATAACTGTACCATTTCCTCTTAGACGCATAGGTCAAGTTTCGTAAAGTATATGTATGCCGTAGCAAATAGTCTCCTCCTTAGGCCGTAATTGTGCGTTGCTGATATTTTGTAAGGAATTTGGAATTTGTTTGTTCATTCGATGATTGGTGTTGAGAACGTGGTTGGTTATTTCGCTGCGATTCGTCCTATAAATAACTCAATATTTTATTCCCGGCAGTACGGGGCACGCCTGCGAATGCATGATCATGATAAAACAAACAGGTATGGTCGGTAATTGGAGAAAAAAATATAGCATCTTAACCAGTAACATACTGGGTTTGTGTGTTTGTATAGATGTGAGGCTGATGTTACATTCTTGATGCCACTTCACCGCAGTTGGGCTAAACCAATTTATACTTAAACTAGGTCTATTTAAGCTGGTTAAATTTCATTCCACTTTATTTGGTTTGTTCTGCCTACCTGAATATTCTTCTGTTAACTGGCCACGTTGCTTACGCTAATTGCGCTTATCTTCGATAACTTTGTTGCGTTTGTAGTATTTTTAAGTAACTTGTGGACTATTTTTACTTATCGCGGATTCGTTGTCAATCAACTTACTTCATATGTTAATTTAGCGAAGAGTTATATCATTGTATCTCTATGCATTATTCGATTTATTTTATTTCATCTTGTCGTTTCAAATGATTGGCTGTTACTTGATATCCCCGGTGTGGCTGCGCTTGATGTGCGTGTTGACAAGGTGCCTGCCTGTCTATTCCCCACTACCTCGTCCATACTGGATCCAGAAGACATTTGGTCGTTGCTGGAGAGGGCGGGGTGCACGGTCCTTGTGGCCGTGCCAGGCTCAAAGAGTGGTTCCATGCACTCAGTGTGGAGCGGACTACGGTCCAACCACCGCCTTGTGTGCGCTTGATTCCCCAAATACAGCGTGCTTCTGTTTGCTGTGAAGGAGTGTGGGCCGGCTCCGTTGATGAAATGTGCCTCCTATCCACATGCCTCCCGGTCTTATTCCTTCGGGTTTACACTGGACATGGGGTGTGTGGATGGAGCTGTGGGTGGTGCAGCGCAGGCCAGCCATGGTCCCTCTGTAGACGCAGGCGATCTGTGGCTTGCCACAGTGACAGACAAATCCGAAACCGGATGCCGCCAACCATGTATGTGTTAGTGTGAGTGAACTTGTGAAGTGTGACTGAATTTGTGCGTTTGTTTGCTGTTTTTGCCATCGTACGAAGGGAACAATGGAACTCTTCGAACTGGATGTCGTCTGCGAAGTCGGGATCCTCCGGAAGTGGAAGGGGCAGTGCTTTTATTTAGTGGCGATTCACATCCGCCACTACTAAGCGAACTCGAGAGATGTTCCGTAGGTTTATAGTCTACCAGAGAATAAGAAACAGGAATAGAGAACGTAGAAATGTGCTGTAAAATCTGACGTTTTCCCGCACCATATAGTTTCCATGATCAGTTGGATCAGTGGCACTTATTGGTACTCACATTGGCTACATGGCTGAGATGCTTTCAGGATTTCCAAACTGGGGCAGACGAACACCCGAGATCCTCATTCCGAAAGCTTTTGGCTCAGAAACCTGACCGCGCAAGGCAGTGGTCACATGAATACTGTTGATGGAATGCACTAACTTCAGAGAGTTATTCGCCAGCACACCTCAAACCCTTCATCTAGAGAATCGGGATCCTGATCTCGTCTCAGTTCTACCCATCGGGAACGTGGTACGAGTGTTTCCTGAGGGTGTTCAACAGTGTGCCCCAGTGTAGCTCAGTTGGTTGCACACCTCAAGACTCAAGCTCACTACTACATACCTTGTTCAGTAATCACAATTCTCATGTCACTGATTGCCCATTTTCACAATGTCTCTTCCCTTTTGTCTGCAAGACTGCCCCATTTGCCGTTCGAGGTTCTGTTCTCGCCTCTGCTACCTTACTGGATGCAGAATGTACCAAAGTCCTCCAAAACGCTAACGGTCACGAATTGGAATATGTGGATCGGTACGTGTCTTGCTTGTTTCGTTCATTGCTAAACTATTTCCAGAGTGCGTAATGCGTACGATCTATTTTTGTCATCTGTTCCACCCCAGTCAGGTGTTATTGAGCGTGGGGCTGTTTTCCAAGTTTAGCCATTGTTTTGCTGACGTTTAGTCATCAAAGTAGGCGGGCGACCTCTTCGACGAAATTTCTTCACCACTTTGTAGTTCATGTTTAAGCTCGAGTGATTTTGCCTGATCTCTGTCCGTTGCACCAGGCCTACCCGTACCTCGGTCAGCTTCTTGTCTTTTCTATCATTTGGATATTCTTCAACTCAAATTGACGACTCTCAAATCCAATGTTAATATCTTTTATCCCTCTCCAGACTCAAAGATGAGCGCCGTGTGTGTAGCGTTCTGGATAGACTCTGTCAGTACCTGGAACGAACAAACGCCCCGTCAAGTGACATGTGTGCCGCCTACTTGCTGAAAGTAGAACATCTCTACTATAAGGTAACCGCACTGTATGTTTGTATGTGTGTGTGTGTGTGCAACACTAATTGGTCAATTTTCACTGCTTCAGTTCCCGAATGCATAAGCCATTAAATGCAGTTATTTTCAGCGCGATTGTCGGAGGGATTCGTGCGGTATAAGTTGCATTCTGCACAACTATACTCAGTCACGCGGCCATCACATGTCGGGAGGTAAACTCATTCGGGAATCCTCTTAATCGCAGGCTCCTGTAGAAACATATGGAATGCACACTGTAGCTGATCTTCGAAAGGATGAAACGGCCGCACGGTACCTTTCCGGGTTTGTGATGGCTGTCCGAGGCTAGCTGTGTTGGATTCCACTTATAGGATATAAGTCTCTCAATTGTTCCGCCGTAATCAGTACGCATCTCAGACTGCGTCTAATACGATGAACTTTTTGGCAACTCAGTTTTGTGAAGCCTGTTCTCTGCTAGGTCTAGATGTCTCTGTGGTGTTGCGGATTCCAGCCTTAAAGATGGAATGCACACGACTGATCTTTCCCGGAACGATGAAACGACTTTCCAGAGCTTTACGGGATTTGTGTCGGCCTTCTAATATAATTTAGTTAGGCCAGATGCAACTGTTTTTCCGTGGCAATTTTGACATGGCAAGGATGGGCAGTTTTTTGTTTGGTTTGATATTATGAATTCTGTTTTGTTTGCTTACTCGCATTCATCCAATTGCCTGCACTTAGTGGCGCTAGTGAACGTATAGAGACCGCAGGAATCACCACGAACATTCGATGGTAGACTGCGACACAATCAGAAAAGTGTGATACAAAAAAGCATGTTGAGATTTCCACACAACTCTCGTTCCGAGATCCTATTCACCATGGAATACGCTTCGCTTCCTAGGTGTTGTTTTGTAGAGAAGCTCACTTCACTGTCAACCGACCTGAACGAATGATAAGAAACCCCTTTTCGGCAATTTTCTCATAGGGACTCCTCGAATCTTCTCGGAAAAATCCGTGTGAAAGCATTTTTGGTGTAGCTCATGTGTAGATGGATCTAGTAAGATTTATTTAGATTATGGGCCAAACACATCAACTACCAATCCGGAAAAGTACCGGATGGCCGCTTCGTCCTCCATGGGTTCGGTTCCCTGCAAAGGGCACCGAGAGAATGCACATTACTGACGAGTCCTGTGAGGACAAAACGGCCGTCTGATGTTTTGCAGTCAAAATCACTGGAGGCTTTCTACACCTGAAGCGATGCCTTTTCAGCATTGCGGTTGCACTGAATGATGGGAGCGATCAAAATATGTCATACCAATTAGAAAGTTAAATAGACATAGGTTACGCATGTCACTCCAGGAGCCGCATGCATGGTAAGTGTTGCGATACAACGAAGTGCAGGAAAATAAAATTTCAAGTTCCGAGCGTGTGTAAAAGACAGACAACCTTTCGAGAGATCATAATGTGGTGAATGATAGCGGTCACTTAAAACCTTAGAAGAAAAATTCATATAAGCGACGAGATGCTTACGAATAATAGAATTGACTAGGGCATTTCTAGATAAACTGGTACATCTAGAATTATCCTTATTCGTATTAGTCAGCCTGTTTGATTTGTAATAAAATCGTGATGAAATAAATAGGTGTTTGATGTTAATCTCACCACTGCAATACACAACTGGTTTCGTCCTTTGAATTTTTCTGACAGGGTTATCAGGAGTCGGTTTTGGTACTGGGTCCCGAGGCGTTTCCATAGACTGCATTATAGGAGCGGCTTTGCACTTGTTTGGGAGCCACAGTTGGTCAGACAGGCGGATGGAACTAGCTGTTTTCTTGGTGTTGATCTTTTCTCATAACTTGCTCCGTATGTGCGTTTTTTGCGTTTCTGTTGCAGCACCGTTACCTGTATGCGCGAGAAGCTGGAGAGTGCCGTTTATTTCGAAATTTCTCTGTGTTACGATTTGCTTCGAGTTTCCACGCTATGAGAATACTACGATTCCTTCGTACTCGCCTCTATTTCGCCGAATACGTTATTTGTGGACTTATATATATATATATATATATATATATATATATATATATATCACTTTATTCATAAGCAAATGTCTACCGAGACTTGATAATAGCACATTTGATGATTTGGCGTGATCCGTTGAACACATGTGGAAAGAATACTTGGGTCCTAATCGGAACGGTAGCGAGTCTTAATGCAGAATATAAGATACACCACAACATATGTACTCATGATTTTGATGACATGTTGGAATTTAGGTACCTTGTAATAAGGGTTGTTTTGCGCCTGCAAGGATTTATATACTAGTGAACAATTGTGTCATTTATCTTTGGTAATTACAGTCATTCTGATCACGTAAATTTCACTGATATCGAACCGATCGTTGACACGCTCTGCGAGATGGATGGTCAACTCTGGTTAGTGCGGTTTTAAACTTTCATGAGATTTAAAACAGTTAGTTTCAACCAGTGATTTTAAAAGCGCGGGATAAACACGAAAAGCAGTGGATGCATACATTTCGTATTATCTTCTCAGTACCATAAACATGAGATTACTTAGTCAAAATCCTCCATGAACCTTGAAACCAGCTTTGTTGATCAGAAAGCGGAGGATTGTTCTCGGATAGATCGACCGAACGTGTGATTCGTTTTTCATGTGATTTTTTTTCCAGCTATTCTCAATGTACTCGAAAATCAGAGTGAGGACCGCGTCGGCGGACAGTGATTGACATTGTCAATTAGGGCTGTATGGCATCAGTGATCTGCTGAGTAATCCTTGGAAACTGCGCGGACTCGGTGATGTGGTTGCTGGTAAAATCATAGGGGAAACTTTGACCACTTGATTGTCATGAGCATATTTCGGATAACTGCTTCAGTGAACGTTAGTCCTCCTTGGGCAGCCAGGGGTTGCTTCATCTAAACTGTGGGCATCCATTGTTACTGGATCCAAGCGTAATATCCAATGGAGTTTTCCATTGCTTTGGTGTCGGACCGTGTCCTTCAGAATCACAGACATACCTAATAATCCTAAAGTCGCGGGTTCCAGCCTGCGTAGGAGACCGGACACCCTCCGCAGTATGTTTAGTCTACACGCGACTACTAGTGGTAGCGCGGCCACAAACCGTTGGTACTGCGTACCGGCGTACTACAGATGTCCAGTTTCAGTTGAACATGCATTATAAAATTCTTGGGTCCAGCCATCAGCACTACTTGTGCGCGAGACGGGTGGTAGATGCACAGTATTCCTGATTTGAGCTATGACATTGCAACATTCATTATAGTGAGGGTTTTAGAACGCATAACCCAGGGACGAATGGGCGTCATAGCTAAGTCCTCGATAAATAATGTTGCCCCTCAGTGAAATGGAACGAAATGTGAACAACTGTGATCACAATGCATTAATAACACAAAGATCAGTCGGAGTTAATCGGTTCGTACTTTGACATTACCTACGTAGTAGCATCGTTTACTGTTAGGTAACTTGATCTGAGTTCTTGTCACGTCGTTCTCAAATCCCAGCGTTGAAGCAGACGGATGCGATTTACTTAGCTGACAGATTGTGATTTCCATTGAGCTACTCACAAGGTTTCCTTAGACTTATGCTCGTGAGGAATTCGGATTTCACGTACTCAGGGCTGCTCCCTCGAACTCGTTTTAATATGCACGGCTGCTAGTGTAGAATTCTGCCCATTCCCCCTTTTCTACATTTACCGTGTATGTCGGTTAATCTCTTTTCTTAGATACTCCGAGTCGTTCCATCTAATCGCAGTTTTGTTCCACGATCTCGTATACTCTTCGAGTCATTCGTGTCCCCTACAGTTGAATTTTCTCAGCAAGCACACGCAGAAAACTTTCAGTTATTATTCACTTTGGTCATTTATTTACTGAGTGCTTGTTGTTCTGTTTTCAAGCCTTTGTTTGAAACCGTAATTCTTCTTTTACTAAGCAATATAATCTTTCCACCAGTGTACGGATTTCACTCCCTCATTTGTCCTGCCTGTCTCTTTATATCCCACAGTTTGACTTTGACTGGGCCAAAAGAGTGGAGGCCGAAGGAATCGAAGTGGTCGGGGAGAATGCAGCCACTGGTGTAATCGAGCGTCTGTGTCAGTACATTTACGCCTGCGATCGCACAGACAGGCTCCGGACTCGCGCCATCCTTTGTCACATCTATCACTTGGCGCTGTATGATAATTGGTTCAAGGCACGTGATCTGATGCTCATGTCCAATCTGCAGATGTCAATCGAACATGCAGATCAGTCGACCATGGTAAATACCTAAGTGTTTTATTCTCGACAATGCGTGACACGCCTGCATATAGGCATGATCGTGGTGATACAACAAGGATTGGTAAATTTAAAAGCGGCGCAAGTTTATAAGTATTGTGTATGAATGCATGTGTGCTCCTTGCTGAGGCTGATGTTGCATTCATGATGCTTCTTCACCGCAGTTGGGCTAAACCAACTTACACTTAAACTAGGTCTTTTTAAGGTGGATAAAATTCATTACATTTTATTTGGTTTGTTCTGCGTACTTGGTAATCTTCTCCTAACTTGCACACGTCGTTCATGCCAATTGTGGTAACTTTGCGTAACTTTATCATGTGGTAATTTTTAAATAACTTTCGCACATTTTGTACCTATCACGGATTCACTTATAACCAATTTCTTCTATATGCTCATTTAGCGAGTATTTATGTCGTCATATGCGTTTACGTTAATCGATATCGGCATTTCGAATGATTGGCTGTTGTTTGACATCCCAGGTGTGGCTGCGCTTGATGTGCATATTGACAAGGTGTGTACCTGTCTATTACCCACTACCTCGTCCATACTGACTCCAGGAGATAGTGGGTCGTCGCTAGAGGGGACGGGGTGCACGGTTCTTGTGGCCATGCTAGGCTCGAAGAACAGTTCCATGCACTCAGTGTGGAGCGGACTACGGTCCAGCCACCGCCTTGTGTGCGCTTGATTCCCCAAATACAGCGTGCTTGTGTTTGTTTGTGAAGGAGTGTGTGCCGGCTCCGTTGATGAAACGTGGCTCCCATCCACGTGCCTCCCGGTCTTTTTCCTTCGGGTTTACACTGGATATGGGGTGTGTGGGTGGTGCAGCGCAAACGAGCCATGGTCCCTCTGTAGGCACAGGCATCCTGTGGCTGGCCACAGTGACAGGCAAATCCGAAACCACCGGATGCCGCCAATCAGGTAAGAACCGGTGTGGTTGTGTTGCTTGAATTTGTGAATGTGACGCCGTATTTGTGCTTGATTTCGGTCAGGCGTGAGAGGGAGGGAGTGAAATGAAATCTTCGTATTGGATGACCCACGTCCTTGATTTGGGTCAAATCATCCGGATATATAGTCAACCGAGGGATTTGTCAGCTTGAAAGTTAGGTTATTAATCGACAGACTGCACATGGATGTCGCTATATCACGGGTGCACATAGAGACGAATTCGGTTTTGAAGGGCGCCGGGCATTACTGTGTTTCTCAGTGTTGCGGTACATTATCTGGTGTGTATTGATGATGATAATTGACTCCGGACACCGACAGAGCTCATTTTGCTCTCAGAAAGTCAATGACATTCCTCGCTGTATAATTGCATCGACCAAATATGTTTGAAACCGGTCTTGTAGTGCAGTTTTCGGGCGGGCAACATCCAATCTCAATCTGCTTCATCAGTTGTGATCCCAGTGATCTAACTGACCAAGGTTCACCTCAATGGGAGTCACGATCCACATTGAGACTGCACATCGCAGTTTGTTCACACAACAAGTAATTCAAAATGATCATGCAGTCAATCATTAACCCTTGTGCCAGTCTTTGTCCGTCATGACTCGGCGGCTTAAGCGTAGGAGTTTCGGCTAACAGCCCGTTGGTCGCGGTTTCCAGGCCTGATATCCACAGCTGAAGAGAACATCCAGAGTCGAAACGCGTCATGAAGTGCAGTGGTTTCCGGCGTGTACAACACCCACCTTCCACCTCGTTCATCAGTTACGATTCCAGTGATCGAATTGGCTAAAATTCACTTCAGTGGGAATCCCGGTCCACATTGAGATTGCTCGTCGCATTCCATTCACACACACACACACGACGAGTGCTTCAAGATGATCCCTCCAATCAGTCATTAACCGTCGTGCCAAGCCTTGCCCTTCATGACGCGATGGCTTAGAGGTAGCGATCACAACTGACATCCCAGTAACCCCGCGCTGGAGGCCTACTACCTCCGTCTGGTGTGATCAAACAATTTCGAAACTGGTCGTAGGGTGTTGTATGTTCGTACAGACAACTTATACTACAGTTCCTCATGTAGGTTTTGACAACCTGCTCCCTTGTATTCCTGGCGTTTTGAACAACAATCGTTTTTCTTTCTCGTTTCTTTCTTACCCAGCACACGAGACCGATTTACGATGGCGCCCCATAAGCAAACCCTTTCATCTCGCCTTGCGCGTGCACGATCGTGCCATTCTGGTTGGGCCACCCGAGACGCCGAGGGATCATGTTTTGGCAGCGGCGAAAGCGATGCGCTACGGGAATTGGCGTGCTTGCACACAGTATATAATCAATCCCAAAATGGATGCCAAGGTATTGCATACATCTTAAGCTTTTCCGTGTTTATATCAGTAACGAATCACTCTGTCTCCACCTTATCAAACCGAACCGCTACGTACTCGCATTAATAGTGGTTAGCGACATCCGGCTCCTGATTTACCATAGCCACGATCGACCGTAGGACGCCTCCATCTGCCTTTGGATCAAGGTGGCTTCTGTCTTATCACGCACGACTTCAAATTCTGTACGACCGAAGGAATAAGAGCAAGAGGCGTGAGAGTGGCAGCTATCACTAAATTGGGGTCGGATCTCTCTCTCAACACGCGTATCACTGAAATGTCGCATTTACCGAGGGCACTTGGCATACACACACCGGGGGTGGTTGCACCATTGGCACTCTCTGCTAGAATCATTCCTGAATCCAAGCACTGTCCCAAGAAGTGTGCACTGCCTGTCTCCCTAATGCATCGATTTTTCGGTTACCGCTTTATGACACATGATGCAATAACCAGATCATTTTGAGCACGACTATCTTATGTTTCGTGTATTATGCCCATTCATACATTAGAAGGAGTCGCTGCAAAGTGATCTCTCTTCCATAATTCTCAGGCATTTACAGTTATGAGAAAACTTGATACAACACGAGAAGCTATCTAAAGCTGCAGTAGTGAATTTTTAGGTCAACCAGCCAATCGATAGATCAGTCAGTGCAATCAGGTGGTAAATGTCACGTGCTTTCACACCCCGCACACTGAATGGCAAACATAACAAGAAAGAAATGGTTGGTTTGGTGTCAAATCTCACACTTAGTCCTAGGCAAACGTAGGTACGGACGGCGTCAATAGTTCCGGCCAAGGCAGTGTGAACACTTGTATATGCGTCCTCTGCTTGCCTAAATCCGATTGCAGCAGCGTGATATCCATTGCTTCCGAAGTAACCAACAGGCGCTTCCTGAGTCCTTTTGGGTTGCGTTTAGACACGATGTACCGAACTTTGAAAGCGCCATCAGTCCGAACATGATGCCCCGTACTAATCAGGTGTTCAAAGACGGAGCTATGGACATTCTTAACTGTACCGTACCGTAAAGAGTCGGGACAGTGTTCCGATATCCTCTTAGACAGACGCCTAGTCGTGTGTTTGCCGAGACGCGAACGACGCTAGAGTATCAGAAGCACAAAGCTGCTAGAGGTCTTGTTACACCCGATAATTTTGCAACTTCTCCTATTTTATGTGCGTTCTGTACCTTTCTTTGGTCGATGCTTCACGGTATCTTACTGAGCATTGCGTGGTAAAGTCCTGCGGTACTGGCAACTTCGTTCTAATTCACCCTATTTCACTAGTAATAATGTTGTGTGCAATGTCCTCCATCATCGGTTTGCAGATCTGGGATTTGCTCTTCCAGTCTGGGCGCGTGAAGAAATTGTTGGAAACGAAAATTAAGGAAGAGTCATTGCGAAGTTTTCTGTTCACTTACAGTGCCATTCACGATTCGATCAGTTTAGATCGATTAGCCAGCTATTTTGAGATGCCCAAAGCCTCGGTGTACTCTACAGTTAGCAAGATGATAATCAACCAGGAGTTGGCAGTAAGTGATGTTTGACGTTTTTTCACCATGGATGTATCTCTTTTTATCTTTTACTTCACTCAGAACATTTCACGCAGAACATTCTTATTGATTCATAGAGAACACCAGTCTGAGGCAAACAATTGTTTTCAGTGATCCATCTAAGGACCAGTACAAATCATATGAAGAATGCTGATTGCTCCGGTTGTTTGGGGTTACGTATTTACACTGTCGGAACCGATATCAGAGTGACATGCAGGGTGATTGCGTTTTGGTCGGGGTAGACAGGGAGATTGAGCATACCTTTTATGCGAGCGTAACCGGGGTTCGAGTATTCGGACCATAATACGTTCTGTTTTGGCGAGCACGCAGACGATTCGACTTGTTCATGAGAATTTGGTGAACCACAGTTAACGCATTCGTGAGGTTAATCCCGTAAAACGGGCGGGACAAAATTCTGTTGGTCAGAACTCCAATCCCAACCATTTAGGGCTATGCTCCTTAATGTGGCGAGACAGTTAACGAGTCGTTCGACCAATATGTATAGCACACCACAGATGCACCCATCTCCGAATACTCGCCTGGGCGCTGCGTGGCGCGCATTGCTTCCATCTCTATTCCTATTGCACATATATGTGCAGCTCGAAAGTGTTCTTCTGTTTGAGTGTCGGTATTGTCCGATGTTGGCCCGTTGCCGTCTGACTTTCTTGATACTCCTACATTATTGACACCCGGCACAGTATTATACACCACGCGGTGGCCTTTTTGTTGGATCGACTGTCCAAAGTGTCAACCATTGGGATGTCTTATCGGTAGGATTACTTATGGCGTAAACCAATGAAGGTCCCAAAGACATTGCCTCGCAGTTGGCACCTTGCTCTTACTCTTTGGTCAGTAGTCCGTAACCTTGCGTTGTCGACAGGATGTCCTTAAGCAGTTCATCGTGAGACTGAGTCTGATTAATTCTTGTCGTTTTCCCAAATGTAATTCGTTGGGACAGACCACGTTAATTATTGGCCACGAAGTCAATGCGACTCTCTTGCATTAATTCCGTGTTTTTCAATTCTTATTTATTCCAATTTTGGTCATTTCTATCGAGTTATTATTATTATTGATATTCAGTGATTACCTCCGTAAGATAATCGGTGCGAGCATAAAATCTTTTGTCACACTGCATCGATTCAAGCAGCCGTTGGTTTCAACCATGGCAATGTGCGCTCACGGTCAGTGCTTGGCATTCCAACGTTTATGCCTTTGTGGAAATGGGGTGGTAGATTACACGATCATCCAATGATATACACACTGTGCATTTCGCATGGATACTCTACTCTTCATCCAGTACAACTTCTAACACTCTTCCATCTCTTCAGGCATCTCTGGAGGTACCGAGCAATTTCCTCATTATGCACAAGACGGAACGCTCCCGATTGCAAACTCTGGCTCTCCAACTGGGCGATAAGATCAATAGCATAGTGGAAATGAATGAAAAACTTATCGAAAGCCGCACTGGTGGTGGTGGTGGTGGCGGGTTGATGGGATCAAAAGGTTTGCATCGTAGCGCGTTTTAACCAATTCCGTCGCTTTCCCGGCACCGTTCCCCCATTCATTTCTCTGCGCCACCTACATTCGTCATTTTTTATGCTTCTTTTTTGATTTACACAGTTTTCATACCCAACGTCGTATGCGAAATTCGTCCGCGGTGTCACTTTTTCTACATAATAATGTAGGCATCCGATGAGAAAACTAGTTTGTTGGAACTTTTAATCTTGCCCTTGAAGAACTGAAATGCACCAGTACCTTGTTGACATTCAGCCGCAGGCGGCGGTAGTACGCCGGGATGAAATGTCACCAGCGGTGTCTGAGACCCGAAGCGCGCTCACACACACACACAGGTTACCTGTCAGACATCTGAGCCACTGCATCCTAGAAGCCCATGCATATTTGTTGGAGCCTTAAATGTGCACGCGGATCGCTTTACGAGCATTCGTATTCTAACACATCTAAGGCAGCTGACGACTCAGCCTGCCTGAGAGCCAATCGGGGCTTCACGTGATATTATTGTATCTCGCAGTACGAGGTTGTGAGTCGGACTCAATTTCCTACTGCGATAACAGTGATTTCCAAGCCTGATTTGATTGTATGCTAACTCTTCCCAGCAAACTCATATACAGCCTCCTCACAACTGCAGCAGATCGTCTATTTCGGAGCCCGGATATGATGTCAACAACTGATGTTCCAGCGCGATTACTGAGTGTTGTAGACGTCCGCGTTTATTTTACTCTCACTTCTCTTGTACGCTCACCATGATCTCCGTACTCATCTTTACTCACTGGGTTAGTTCGCACTGTTTCACCAACGGTGTGGACTGGCATGAGAATTGTAGCTTAATTTCGTCACCCTAGCCATGTTCCGCGTCTTTTCCCTATCCGCGGTAATTCCATCGGAGATTTTTCGTCCTACGTCTATCTTCCAGACCAAATGATAGTAATAGGTACACCTTCTTGGCTTTACCAGAACCTGCGTCTTTAAACAGAAGCGATTTCGTAATCATAATCATATTGCTATGTGATTGACACATACACGGATAGCTGCTGGTACCCTGTGGCTTTCACGAAATACTGCAGGGTAGGATACCGATTTTAGAAGTGGAAAATTCTGAATAGACACTCACTGGTGATCAGCGATCCGAGAGTTACCAGGCGAAGTGGCATACTATTGGAAGAAGGCTTGAGCTTGGTGTCCGCAATTCTCTTCCTGCCTGGATTATACGCGAACTCCATGTTGACGTGTAACAGCGCTTGTCTGTCTGTTAAACAAACAGAATACGGGTGATGATTTAAGACTAAAACACTCAGTAGGGCCAGTAAAACTATCAGGTAACCTAACTTCTTGTCAGTATACAGTGGTATATATTTGTCGAATGGTTCGATGTTCCAGCTTACGCGAGAACCCAGCCATTGTTGTGCCATTTGTCCATTGAGCCAGCCATTCTCGTGGTCAGAACCAGAGCACTTTGCACCCGTCGATGGCACCTAGATATTATGTTCATTAGTGAGGATAGATTTTGCTATCTTGCTTTTATGTTGTCTCATGAAGAAGTTGGGGAAGTTTAGAAGCCTTAGATTAGTTCTTTTTTGAGGGCCTTTACCAGCTTGACATGTTGAGGTGAATTCCGTCCCTGGTACTTTTAAATAATGAGTCAACCTACTGTCTCATCGAAAGAAATCCAGAGGGTTGTTTTACCTTGTGTTTTGTTTATGATGAACTATCTATCACATTTTATCTACCAACTTTAGCTTTTCTGATGTTTGTAGTCACTATGGTGCTATTGTGCAATTGGTTCTGCCACTGCTGCTACAGCTTTTTTCCCATGTTCTGTATATTTGTGAACCTGCTCCACTGTTTTGCGCCAGCATTCTTGCATTACACTCACGAATCTTTATTGGTTTCTTCCACATCGCGTTGCAGGTTCGCAGCCTTATCAAGGACGTAAGTGTGCTGATGTCTTTTACTTCCTCACGGTTCATTTATTTCCTGACACTTTTTCAACCGTTGGTTAATGGATGCCACCGTGAAGTTGCATACAGTACAATCCGCATGTGTTGTTGCGCCTCCCTCCTGTCCCAACGGTTCGATCACAATCCACAGTACAATCTTAAAGGTACTTTCATCCCGCAACGCACTTTTCTAGTGGATTCTCCGGATGTGCAGGCTAATCGCCAAACTGACCAACTGTGATCGACACCGATCTGAGGAATTGTCCGAGCGTCCTTCCACCGTTCCCAACAAGTTTGTCAAACCCAGGTTGACTGTTTGGACGAGCGACTACAGTCGCGATGTGTAATCATCATCGCGACAAAGAGTCTTGATGCGATCCTATATTCGTTAGCGATGTAGAAGCATGACACACGGCACTTAATCCCAATTATCTCTGTCCATCGTTGCATAGAGTTCGCTATAGTTTACGGGCGATTGGCTGCACCGCTGACGTAACAGTCTTTACACTGGTGGTTATGTGATGTAGCCTGTTACGTGAAATTCACCAAGGCACTAACTTCTCTGTACCGACTCCAAGTTGGCCCACGAAGCGTCCCATTCGGCGAAAGCCGTGCTGCTGTGGTAGATGTCTAATTTACTTTTTCACGCCTGCCCAACGGTATAGATGGCGTCAGTGATTCGAACGAAACTCTGTCCTCCTTTATCTCTACTGACCGCACCTACCCGTTAAAGAGTATATTCGTTACGTTAATCCGTAGGACATCTACATATTTCGGTTACCTTGTCCTCTTCCCATAGAGTCTTTCAATTGCTTCTCAACATTGAGTAATCCATCCCAAGATCCTCACACATAATTTTTTGCATGTTCGGCGTCACGTATTTGGTGCACAAAGAGCTAGTGAACCGCTCAGCACCATCATATCACGCGCCAGTCTCCGATGGCTGAGCCACGTGTTGCGCAGTCCAGCACATCGACTCCCGCGACGTGCGTTGTTTGCGCGCCGGGGGTGCGATTGGAAGAAAAACTGGGGAGGCCAAGCGAAGATTTAGTCGTCTGAAATGAAAACCCTCACTTCGAAGTTGGCGTCGGTTAGTGCATCCCGACTGCCTGACTGGGGTCCTAAGGACGATGAACACGTTTGGTTGGATACACTTGCTGATATGGCTAGGAGCCGGCCCCAATGGCGTTGGTGTTGTGAGTTCATTTGTCCATCCCCCTCCAATCACGACCTCATTCGTTAAGCATAATATAACTCTTTGCGGCTGTTAGTTCTCCGGAACGATGTCCATTCGTTACTAGGAACTCAGCTGGCGTGCCACTGTTGTTTTTTCTTCTTGTCTTTTGTATTGCGGCACAATAACTGAGGTGTTTTCCACCTGCAGCTAACGTGTATAGTGATGATAATGATGATGACTCGGCACTAGTTTCATTCCCCGCTACATTCTCGCATCCCCGAATCATTTATACAGCGCAGGGAGTAATGCAACTCGTTTTCCACCACTGCTGTTGGAGAACACCTAATGAAACCTCCCAGCGAGGCTCTCATTGTGTTCATCTGATGGGAACTGAGTTTTCTAAAAATCCGTCCGCATCCAAATGCAGTGACGTATCATCATTTGTGTGCCAACCAATCGTAGAGGTACAGTGTTGTGTTGGGGTCGTGCTTCTCATATGGACTGATAGTGGAGGCGTTCACTTATCTATGTTCTGTTTGCGAGGAACCAGTGAGCTGTGGCAATGAGCGATGCACACTGTTCATTCCTGCGGTCCACCATGCGCTACTTTTGTGACTTTAATTGATCAAATCGCACTGTCCGCTGTTCCCCTGAATTACTTCGCGTTCTTTGTACCTAAACCGTCAGTTCGGTTAGTCTAGAGATCGTCCAGTGACGATCTGGTATGGGTTGTGTTTCTGAGAATCCAACAGGTCTCATTGGCACTAGGAAATTTGAGAGGATTCTCTGGCACAGTACTGTCTCTCAACAGGCTGGTTTGGTTGTATAATTTCTCTTTGGCGGCCGTTCGTACGCTGTAGGAAATTGTCGTTAGTGGTGACACCCAAACCACCGTATGACTCATTCAAAGAGCGAATGTTGCGTTACGTCGAGAACCCATGAGGCCGAAATCAACCGGTTGGTTTAATTACAAATCGAGCAATTGCGCTTCACGGTTGGTTGAATATTCAGCATCTCCTGTTGTACAGACCATTTGCGTTCCGTCTTGGCCCAGCCGTCTGCCGATATTTTAAGCCCAAACAATCATCAATTTTGTTGAGGTTTCCATCCCAGTGGTTCACCAATTGTTCATCAATTTTTTGCGTAATTGGGCATATCAGGGGTATCTGTTTGGTTAATCTATCACCTACCTTTTACCTGTTTGAACTTTCTTATCTCTTTGCTATCACTACGGTTGGAACGTGTGTTTGATCAGTTACGCATAATAAATAATAATAATGTGTCAGCTGTACGCCGTAACGGCGCTTCGCTGCCGCGCGACCACCACCAGTTGCGCGCGGGCTGAGTATACCGCGAGGACGCCCACCCCTACGCGGATTCGAACCGGTGACCTTATGTTTGCAAACCAAACGTGCAGACCACTCGGCCACCAGCCTACGGAGAATCTATCATTTCAATGGCCCGGTGACAGGATGTGCTTCCAGCTCGCTCCGCTTTTGATTGTACTCAGCTTATTGTGAAAGAGTACTCGATCAGCCCATGGTATGTCTATCATCTGTCAGTACGGGTGGGGCAAAAAATCTGTTGCTAGACCATAGCAAAGATCACCTAAGCACAAATCCCAAGATCTATGAAAATCTTCACCCGGCTAAGTACATCACTATTTGTCTCTCCATCACGTGATCAACTATGTAATGTTACGTGTTTGGCTTACCGGATGCGATTGTGACTTGGTTGATCTCAGCACTGGGTGCAGTTGGGGTGAAAAAAGCATCAGGAATACCTTCCTTAGGTGTTGCATAGTCCATCGAAGTGTCTTAATAGCGACATGCTATTTATAGGAAACAGTACGATGCGACGCTCTTCCCGTTGATCAGACTTTTTCTCCGTGGGATGATGTCTCAGGTAGCTCCATCTGGAGGCCGTTCTAAGGGAATTAGAATGTTGTTCACCTGCGGATGTATCGGCTTTTGGGCGTGGTGTGATCATTAGGTCACGAACTGGTTCCTGATTGAACTTTATAATGTGTTCATCACCGCCACACAAGGATTCTACAGGAGTGCCCAAACACAAGCAGGTACGAAGCTTCTCAACGCAAATGCCTGGACCACTGCATCACGATAATTATTGGCGGCCAGCACCCGCAAACTCCAGCATGAGCAAATAGTTCCCCATCTCGTTGACGTCTTCCGGTTGGAATTCATGGTGGTAGTCGTGTTTTGCTCACATTTTCCTACATGACTTGACCGACTGACTCAATAAATAAATAGCTTATTCTCTAATTTATCCACTAGAGTTCGTTTATCTCCACACCACCTATTATCAGTGGGGACATGTTCATGCATATTAAGGTACCATTTAATTGCTATACTCTCATGTTTGCTCCTGGAAACCCCTTACCATTCAGGACGCGCTTTTGCGCTTCCCACCGCGTTGGGTCGTTTCTAAAGGTACGTCGATCTGGCGCTTTGGTCGCCACACACACACACAGACACTCCGTGCGTTAGTGTTTTTTCACCGTTTGTCGCTCAGCCTAACCTCGCACTGTTACATACGTATATACATTCATACACTCATCCACTGTCATGCCAAACATGTATTTTTGTACATTTCTGATCACACTATGTTAGCTCAACATGATCATGCTTGTAAAGGTGTGCCTCGCATTGTCGAGAATAAAAGTTAATTTATTTGTTTCTCATCCAACTTATTTGCTTACTTCAATTTGCACGTGCAGATCATCCACCACAACGCAGCGGCATCTTACCGCCGTTTGTCTTCGCCACCCTCGTTGTGTTTTTCTGCCCCATATGCACACACTGGTTCGTACCCAGGTTGATCACTTCTCACTCTTGATGTCGTCACATATCAGAGCTTAATCGGTTGTTCCTACATTTACATATAAGGTATTTAACGCTCCTTACTTGGTTGGGTCAAATCTCGAGTAAACAAAGTAGCCCATGGTGTGATGAAATCTGCCACCCACTATAATGACAATGTTCAGTAGGTGCGATCGATCTTCCTCGGTTATAAAATACGTTCTTACAGAGTCACAGTGAGGGTCATCCTTCCCTCTATTGGGGTGAAATCTGGCTCCTTCGGTCTAATAACCGGAGGTTCCTCCAAGTTTTTGGTCACTATTGTTTGCGGGTCATTGCTGATGTCGGATGGCATCAAGTATTCGGTGATGCTGGCCAAATTAGTCTCTTAAACCAACAAATAAGACTGGATAGTTGCGTCGACTCGAACATGCACTACGTGTGCCCTCTCGATGGTCCCCGGCAGTGAACTTGTTCGTCAGATCTAGGATGTAAGGCCTCAAGAGGTACTCATACATCACTTAGTGAGAAGTGAAGTAACCGACTAGTAGCTTGAGTTCAGTCAATCCGTCGCCTTTTCAGGCTGGTACCCACCCGCTCCATCATGTGTGCGGTTCGCTACTGGCAGCAATGGCTCGATTGTGTGAACAAGGTGTCCGCAACAATCCGTACTGATTCTTCGCTACCACGCAAACACCGGTGCTGCGTGCTGTTTGGGCTACTGTGAGGCCACCCACGCCGGCACAAGTTCCTCCGGTGACTCGTGGATCACAGGCTAAACGCCTGGACCACACCATCACCATACGGACTACTCGTTTAAGGTATGTCTGATGCTGAGTTATCTGTGGACGGGGTGAGTTCGAGTATGACACGAAGCAGTGAAAATCGCCAGGAAGTTATCTATTCGTGGTCACCTTATCTTTGCATCATAGACATCAGCAGTACCGACGCTTCGCTGCCGCGCAACCAAAACCGATCGCACGTGGGCTAAGGATACTGCGAGGGTCGCCCTGCCTCAACACAGGCTCGAACCCGCGCCGTCAGATTCCAAGACTAGCTCGTTACCGGCATCTTTTTACCATAGCAGGGTGTTAGCAAAACGTGGGTCTTGTATTTGGGTTCATCTTCTTCTTGCCAGTACGACTATCTATTTTTGTCTCTTTAGCTACAAATTACCCGCGCAATACACTGGTTTGCTGTGGGTGGTGATCATGCATTCCGCAATGTCATTTCGATTCGATCACGCTGATTGTGTGCCTTTGTGCTGTTATTTCTTTTGGTGTGTTCATGAGCACAAAACGGTATTACAGTTGTTACTGATTTTCAAAACACGTAGCAACTGCTGCATATGCGCCGACACGTGTTTGGTTCTAAACCCCCTTCCAGTTGTTCCCGATTAGATTGACCTTATCACTTGCAGGTCTATGCACGATCGAATAACTCGTGTTCTCACCCCTAGATTTTGCTTTCGCCTTCGCCTGCATTATCATCGCAAAACTTCTTACGCTTCCTTTAAACGTCCCTAAAGCCAACCGCGTGATTTTGCTTCTTGTATACCTTGCGTCAACAATGAACGGGAGCTGGTATGATTGGTGGCATCCGTGAATTTAGCTGTCACTGCAATTGTGAACCGCCAGAGGACACCTGCGGCTACATAGGGATCATGGACAGCTTGTGCTGCACCAACCACATTATATGCATTATAAACCTGAAGAGATAAAACTGGTAGCATTGTACATGGGCGCCGCGATTGATTCGGAATTTACCCACACTCTATCAACACGCACATCATCCATACGAGCTAGGGAAACATACGTGTCAGGCATCCACAGGGCAATGGCTGGACCGTAGCATTGTCAGGAAGACTGTGCATCCCGTTTCCCCAGCAAAGATTACCAGTCTCCTGGAACCGGTAATCGAGATGACGGCTTTCGGTAGGTGATCATCTTGTCAACATTCGCATCATGCTCAGCCAGATTTGGGGCTGCGGTTTAGCCAACGCCTTGTGTATACGCGCTCATTACACACTAGAGCACAACGCATCCCTTGAAGTGAGCGTTTCTTTGATCCTGAGTGCTGGACGCTTCTCTGTTGATGACTGGCATCATACAAACTTTCAATGTTCTAGTGTCCCTGTAAATGGCTTTTCATCGGTTTAGAAATCGATAATTGGTTCACGTCAGTGACTTTCGCTTCCAGCTAGTGACGTAAATGATAAGGCCAAGCAAAGATGGGTGATTTTTGCTAACGTAGACCCAAAAATATTTTGTAGGTCCCAGGTCTAAGAAGATTTCCATGATTTATGTTGCCAAACGGCACTACTGGGTCAGAAAGTGCACCTCCCGTGAAGTGATTTATGTTCACATTTGTAATCCATCCACCCAGTCTCCACAATGCTTCCCCTTCTTTCACTTATTGGTTGTGCAGCAGCGATATACGGTAACGCATTCGCTCACTTGCCTGGTTGCTTTCCTACGGTGGCTTTTCAACGTGTGTGGTCTCACACAGATCTAAGCACCATTCTAACCTCATCAAACCGTTCAATTCCCTATACGCAGAAAATGCCTTTTGCGTGCACACACACTTGACATCATTCGCATCACACCACCTCAACCTTGGCATTTTATTTCCATTTCTATTTCCAGCCCGTCGTCAGGCCCTTCGGTACGTGGTGAACAAGTTCAATTGACCCCATCCTCCCGATACCGGACTTGTATTACCACCAGTGCTTTCTGTATTACCGATTGATCTGTCTCTTGTCTTTTGAAGTTTTGTTCCTACTCATATCATTTGACTGGGGATTATCTCAGGAGGGGCGGAAGTCCAGCCGCGGAACTAAACTGCCAACCGTTCTTACGCGATGACCAGAGAAGTAGCAATTAGCCGCAACGAAGCGGCAGAAATGGATAAAAATAAAACAAACTAGTCAACCGAAGGTTTAAAAGGGAAGACCAAACACTAGGATCAAACAATGAATTAGCATACGTTAGCTAGTTTCGCTTCCATGACCCCCCAAGATCCGGTATCAAGTCATCCCATTCATGACCACAATTTTCATACTAAGGCTGATCCGACTGGCGGGAGAGTGGATAGTCTGCTTCGCAATCTGTTCAGTGCTAATGTATCTCACTAATCAAGCTTGGGCCATAGCACACGCAACTTTAGTATGCCTCGAAGTGAATCTCCATATTACTAATGAGTAGGGGGAATTGGGTGTAACTTTAGACGTAGTTCATCGCAGTCCTCAGTCAGGCGGGCTCCAACACGTCTAGAAATGCACCAGACAGCTGGTTCAACCTTTTGTGAGTCTGTCTGACTGGAGGGGGACTGCGACAAACTACATATAAGATTTCGATATTCCTGGTTGCAGTTGGGATATTTTGGTTGCGGTCCGTTCATAAAACTGCACTCCACGAATGGTTCGGCCCTTGTTTGGACTTTTCTGGAGTTGTTTGGGGACTGTTTAGTCGCCAGTTTCCGAGTGTCTTTCACTGCATCAAGGAATTCAGTTCGAGATCGGCTACATAAGAAGACAAGGAGCTAGTGGTGACGGGAACATGCGTATCTCTGTGCAGCGACACCCTTAATTGCTTGTACGCTACAGTGTTTATTTTCAGTACTTTGTAGTGCGCCTATCGAAAAAGGATAGCATAATGTCCTGCGTTGAAGCTGCTCGTCGTGTGCGGCCGTAGAACCACAGTTAATGAGCGCAGTTGCACTAAAATACTACCGCAGTTTTCGAATAAGTCCCCATCAAATCAGGTGACCATGGAAAAGACCGATGGACACAATGGTTTACATTCCAGACATCAAGAAAGCAAGTCAGAGGGAATAAAAATCAGAATAATATACCATGTAATTAACTCTCGGCTGGCGAATGGTGAGGTCTATCTCCAAACGGCAATCAAAACCCGGGACAGCTGGTCAGACTTACGATAGTAGTACACGTGGCGTCTCTAAATTTCCATAACATGACAACACACAGACATGGTACTTGAGTGTTTGCCAAGTTTCTCACTTCTGTGAGCAGCGTTTTGCTGCTACATCAAGGAGATATGTCTCTCCGATCAAAGGAGCATTGGTTTTATCAGATGGAACCGACCTGTTCGCAACCATGAAGTGCACGGACGATTACTGAGCCTTATCGGGTCACTGGATTAACGAGTAAGACTGCGTAGACTTCGTTAGTTCATACACACATCGCTTTCTGATAGAACTTGTTCAGTTGGCATCGAGAGCTGGGATTAACAGCCGCTAATTTTGGCGCTGTTAGCATATTGAAGTCTACGCAGACCATTTCTTGGCTGGCTCGATTAACGACTGGCAACAGTGAAGCGTTTGCCACTCGAAATGCTCGTGCAAAATGTGTGTTTAGTGCTGCGGAGGGTACGACGCAGAGCAGTGCAAGCAGCAAGGACGTCACACTGCTTATGCCTTGCCCTATAGTCAGTCGCTTGTGACCGTGTACATGATATCAACTCGAGCATCCGATCAGAGCATTTATAAGTTACATATGGTTTTCCCCTCGCACTATTGTATGACAGCGAGTTATGCAGCACGGTATGCGGATTACTGCTGTTTTCCCTTTCGAGACGTAACATTATTTGAAGTGTACTGACGAAACAAACCTAAATAGAAAATTATATAACCTAACTGCCGTCCCGCACACCTTAGTGGCTTAAGCTTCTGGCTAGTTGGCATCAGCCTCTGACGGTCATAGATTCGATCTCCAGTAGGGGACTGAGGGAATGCACACCACTGACGAGCCCTAGTAGGGCGAAACGCGTCTGGTGCTTTTCCGGATTTTGGTTGAGCTATGTAGTTTTTGAGCTGCTGGGGCGAATACAGCTACTCCTACTCATAAGTAATAGAAAGTAGCGACGCTGGGTTCACAGTGAAACAGGCAACCAAGATGGCTACAACAGTTTGCATGGGGAGTCCAACGAAATCATTTCGTGCTGCGATCATTCTTATTTCACCTGTCGTACTCTATGGACTAAGGATGCTGTCTGATATTATCGCTTAGAAGTGGCACATTGGCCCCCAACATGTCCACTCAAATGATCCAGTGACAATGACACTTGGAGAGGAATCCCAACAATGATCGATATTCTCATCCATTATACGCACATGCTAACTTGTGTGGCATGTGGGTGACAACTACTGAGTGCGCTGAGCACGAACGTGCATTGGGAATCACGAATGAATGGGACAATGGCCTAGTACTAAATCCAGTGGCAATCAACATGTTACCCTTGAACTAGTGAATTGAAACGGACCCGTTTCTGGTAGAAAAGAATCATATGTATGCCAAATAAGCCAATTTTAAGAGTCCTCAGAACACCGGTTTTCGTACTAGGTGATCAGAGGCCGCTCGTTACCACACAATGCAGAGCTATTCCTCTCATCTGAAAGTCGATCCAGGGAGCTGCAGTTTCTACGGATGATCTAAATAATATTGGAGGCTTACACGATTAAAGTGAAAATGAATTGGCGTTTTCTCCGTGGCAGTTGGAGACGGACCAACAATCCTGGAATTTTTTGCACTACGGACAAGAAAGTGAATGGTGAAATTCCGGCTTGAGGGAAAAATTTTTCGCAAACACGCATAAATACTGAACGGAAGCTCAACAAGTGACACTTTTACATGGCTATTCCATCAACTCCTAGCATACTGGATACCATTGCGAGGTGTGAATCATGGTAACGGATCGCTTACTTGTGTGATGCGTTCCAACCAGTCAGCCTTATCAGAATAATTACGTCGCTCGAGCGGAAATGCATCATGCACTGCGCAAATATTCTTATTTAAATAAATAAACAATTTATTCTCGGTGGTGTGAGACACGCCTTCAAAGACACGACCACACTAAATGTGTACGCCTCTGCTGTGCACAATGCGAACATCTGAAATTCAAACCAAATACTCCTTTTGTTGCGAAAACCAAAGCCAGTAGCTTTGAAATCAGCACAAAACCATGTGTGAACGATTCGGACGGACACATTTAGATCGGCGATTTCATTACTATATGGTTTTTCATTCTCATTTTTAATCCCTCACCGACTCTCAGGCGGGACATGATAAGCTACAGCTTTTCCATCCGCAATCTACCATTGGCCTGAAACCACAGTCCACATCAATTCAGCTAAACGAGTAAGGTGGACGGGGCCACGCGAATGCTCCCGTCATCATTGGGAAGTAACAGCGGTGGAGAAAACGAAGCCCAATGCGAAGTTGATTGGGACAAAGGTGGTCTGGATTAACAACTGACTCCACGTCGCGTAAAATCAACGATCACGGGAGGTGGCCACTCCCATGGTCATATTTGAAAAGACGCACAGATCAGCTTAGTAATGTCTCGGTCAAATTCCGTATGCTTCTATCATGTAATCGATAGGCCACTGGGTGATTTCACAAATATGAGAGCAACAAGAGCATATGAAGCACGCTAAGACGGACGTAATTCATGAGCAGTGCGTCCGTACGTTTTAGTGACGCTTCGGTGCCAGGCAACCAGCACCAGTCGCGTGCGTACCAAGAGTGATACCGGATCACTCGCACCGAAGCGGGCTCGAACGGATGACTAGTGGATTACAAGCTTAAACCAGTCGGCCATCGGAAGTTGCTGCAAAGGTTCTCGTGTAGCACCAGAAGACCTCAATATGAAGGCCAACTGTGAGGCTCATCCGGTATTGCGATCATCCCGTTGATACTGTCGCCGTTTTTCATTTATACAGAAGAAACAGTCTTTAAACACTAGCCGATAAGTCGGTAACTTGCCGCCACCACATACGAATGTAGATTTGGAGAGCCGTAAAGGCTTTATTGACACGGCAATTCTCCTAGTGCTGCGATGAATGATATAACCGCCCAGATAACAACTTTGACACTTCGAGTGATGTCTAATAATTATAGAGGAGTAGTAGGGGGAGTTGAATGGTAAAGGTGGAAATTCGTCACATCTAGACTCACTCAGACAGCCGTCACACGCCCGGAAAAGCACTGTACGTGCGTTTCATCTTTTCCGGAATCGTCAGCAATGCGCATTCCATCGGACCCTGGTAGGGCTTGAACCCGCAACTCGACTGTTGCCAGTCCGTGGTTGAGACCACTGAGCTACGGGGGACGGTAACGAACATCGTGAATTAGGTACTAGATGTGATATAGCGCCGCTGACTATCCACTGACTTACACTTTACTGCTCTGCAAAGGACAGCGTAGCCCCCTCACCAAGCGACGAGCCTAAGTCAGTGGATAGTCAGCGGCGCTATATCACATCTAGTACCTAATTCACGATGTTCGTTACCGTCCCCCGTAGCTCAGTGGTTTCAACCACGGACTGGCAACAGTCGAGCCGTACCAGGGTCCGATGGAGTGCGCACTGCTGACGATTCCCGAAAGGATAAAACGCGCGTACAGTGCTTTTCCGGGCGTGTGACGGCTGTCTGAGTGAGTCTAGATGTGACGAATTTCTAATAGTTGTCTGTACCGATGTAGTATCGGACCATTTGTGCAATGATGTGCATTGAGGGTGCGAAGCAGGTTCTGCAGCAAGCAACCCTCTATCTACGCAGCTCTTGTACTGAGCCTGACCGCAATAGAGCTATTTATCCAGTGTATCTAGAATTATCCCATCACAATGAGCCTGGACCTAACTGTGGTGCGATGGTTTGCGTGCCTCAGAGATCCATTGAGCTATGCTGGGTAGTGCTTCTTTTGCACCTCCAGAGCCACTCATACCAGCTTGGTCAATGGTTAGAGGCCAGACAAACTCAGCATCCTGGTCCTCCAGGTTGGGGGTTGGAATGGGGGTGGCTCCTCATTTCATAAAACGGGCTCTGTAGTCCAGTGCCAAAACCCGCTGCCTTGCGGTAAGGTTTTTGAACCAAAGGCATTGGTTGAGAACCCTAATCGTTCTCCTGTCTAGGCCTGGGCAACCTGACAG